TAATCCCAGGACCTCCAGAATTAGAAGCTTTGGGGCAGTGGTTCTTAAAATCTAGTCCCAAGACCAGCACAACAGCACCAGCAGCATCCTGAAACCTTGATATAAATGCAGATTTTCTTGGACCTCACAGTAATATCAGGAACTCTAGGGGTGGTACCAAGGAACTGGAATTTTAACAAGCCTTTCTAGTGATTCTCATGCAGATATGTTGGAATTCACCTACAACATTTAAGGAGGCATCCACTCCCAGGTTCATTCATATAAATTCAGTCTGCACATGCATGAATCTGGACAGAGGGACCACCTTAAATTGTGTGCCCTAGCATATCACATGCTGACTTCACCCTATCTATACTGGGCACCAGAGTTTTAGGAGAATCTAATGATCACAGCCAGCCTGGGCACCAAACTGATGGGCACTTTCCTGATGGGTGGTGATTGGTCTTCCAGAGGTGCAGCTCCTCTGGCCAAGTGGAAATCAAAGTCCAAGGGAGTCACAGCAGACAGATTGGAGAGCACATGTGAGGTATATCTATAGGAATCCACCCCAGAAACTACTGGGGATATTTTGGCCAGGATGGGTGTTGGAGAACCTTCAGAGGGAGACCCGGGCTTCACCTCTCCCCATGGAAAGTAGATCTTGCAAACATTTGCTCATGGGAATTGACATGGCAACATTCACTGTGTGTCTGCTTATTAGACATGCCACCTAGCCCCTGATTCTTACATGCTCATGCTCAGTGCAAATGTAAGCTTTATGATCTTGGTTTTGTAAAAGAAAACATAGCTTAAATGGTTAAAGAATAAGTGTCATATCTCAAGCTGATGAGTAGTGGACTGAGAATTCAACAGGCTTATGACCTCTCAAATTTGTTGCCAGCCACACCGGGATTCCTCAGCTGTGACTTCCACTTCCTCTCATGTCAGACAGCCAGCTCATCAGCATCTCTTTATGCCTTCACAGCTGGGATCCTGTCTCCTCCTCAAATTCTTAGACAGCATTTGGTGATTTGGTGCTTCTGCCCTGGACTTTGAACCCTGCAGGACTGGACATGGCTCCTGGAGTTGACTGGTTGCACCTGGCAAGTAAAGTCCTAGCAAAAGGTACTCTTGACCTGAGCCACTGGGACTGAGCCACCCTTACTTTTTTCAGACCCTGCTTGACATCACACATCACTTTGAATGTTCTTTCTTAAAAATGGAATCTCATTAGAGGCACCTCAGGTTTACAATGAACTGAATATATTGCATACCCCTAAAAACCTTTCTGGGTTGGGCACACATGAGCTTACACATTTAGAACCACAGACACACAATGACTAAATTGCCAAGTTGGTGCCTTTTGAGTAGATGATACAAGAGAGAAGTCACTGGCATTGTTTGGCTCTGAACTTCAACTTCAGTCTTGACAATGAAAACGTCCACATATGTCTCCAGGTCTTAGTTTACTCCCTTTAAAACCTGGGAATATTAATGCCCTGTATTGCCATGGCTTTTACACCTCTCATCACACTTTATCCTACTCCAGGGCAAACATTAGAACTGCCGCACTCATTCACTCAGTGCCTATCTGTAAGGCTGAATAACTGAGGGTGTGGTAAAGAGTGTGGAGGAATAAAGCATGTATCAAGGGTGACTTGGCCGTTTTATGGTTTAGACTATTATGTCTTGTCAATCTCAAGTCCAAGGGGGAGTAAGAGATGAGTAGCTCCTGGAGGACAGGGGCTTGGGCTATGGAGAACATGAGACTGGAGATCCTGGTTGCAGAGGAGGGAGAGTGGCTCTCATTGCATCCCAGAGGTTTAGAAAGACTAGTACAAGTGCATGTTGGGAGTCCTCCACTCTAGCCCCAATCGCAGTTCCTCCAGGGGCACCCTGTCCCCTTTCTCCAACCTGTCCTTGGACTGTCAGACACCTGGCAGTTTTGCAGTTTTCCTAAAGCAAGCACTTTCCTGGCTACAGGAACTGTGGCCAGGTCAGTTATGCCAAGCCCCTTCTTCCTGAGGCTGGAAGATTTGGAATTTGCCAATCTTTAAGATGCAAATTGTTAGTTTAAGTCCTTGGTCCCTGGGAAGAGACCCTCCCAGCTTTTACTCAAAGCATTGTCCCAAGGATGGTTTGTGAACTTGCACAGGCTGGATAGTGGAACTAGGCAAGACTGCACCATCTCAAAGGAAACATGCTTAAAGGACCCCCACCAGACAACGCACTTAAGGTTTCAAAACCTGTGTGCCTCCTCTCTGAATGCTACCTGGTTTCCTACAGTGACTAGCACCTGGAGCCTTTACCTGGGTAAGAGGGCAGCATGGAAGGGTTGGCAGGTCTGGATTCCTCTGCACAGCTGGGCCAGATTACTCTGAGGGAGCAGAGGGAGCCCTGGGGCAGGACAGCCACTGTGAGGCCAGGAAGGAGGCCTGGGTCTCCATACATACCCATGAGTAAGGGGCAGAGAGGAGACTGGTGTGGGAGGGAAGAGATGCTTAAGTCAGATCAAAGGCTGCCCCCCCCCCACAAACTTTTCAGATAGGAACACAGGTGAGAAAAAACACAGTAGGCTCTTCTCCACCCCCTCTCTCCCACCACACCTGACCCCTTCCTCAAGTGGCAAGCTCCTTGAAGTCTAAGGCTGAACNCCACAAACTTTTCAGATAGGAACACAGGTGAGAAAAAACACAGTAGGCTCTTCTCCACCCCCTCTCTCCCACCACACCTGACCCCTTCCTCAAGTGGCAAGCTCCTTGAAGTCTAAGGCTGAACTTGCCCTTAAGTCAGGTTTACATTAATTAACACATTGAAAGTAAAACACAACACTCAGAAGCCACCTGCTTTTGTAACCTCTGCCCTTTTCCAACAAATGTTCAATGTAAGTTCGAGATAATTAATTAAGCACAGGCTTTTAACCATGACTTTTTCTTCTGTTAGAGACCCTGTCTGGTAAATGAAGAAAAACATACCATTTACCCACAAAACTCAGCACAATCCCTTACTATTATACAATTAACCAAAACACAATTGTATGTAATACAATTACACAGACTACAATTACACAAAAGTAATGATGCAGGGTGGATGGCGATGACTTTCATGTCAGTGGAAGCGAGGGCTTCCTTGATTGGAAATGAAAGTGTGGTAGGAGAGCCCTGTTGAAAAATGTTTCCTCTATTGATCTATGCTTTGCAAAGGCTGCCCTGGCTGATGGAGTCGGATGCTTCACCCTCATCATCAATAACGACTAGAGGGGCAGAAACCACTCTGTATTATCTTTTATTCTCAGGGCTCTAAACTAGGAAATTCTAGTGAGGCACACATTTTATTACCCGGATGTCCAGCTGGTCAAATAGAAAAAAGATAAGTAGAAGAGCCAGGAAGTCTGTACGATTTGATGACCATCTTGTGTGTTGTGGTTTTAACAGAGAAACATGCTCATAAAGATCCGCAAAATCTGAGCATCAGAGGAGACTGTGGTCTGCACAGCTGATTCTGGGCTGCTCACTAGAGGGACCTATGACTCTTATTGCTCCCCTGGATGGGGGCAGTTACCTCAAGCTCTGGGATGGCTCTCCTTCAATCCAGCTTCCTTACTCTTTCCTGAGTATTCTTTCAATAGGCAGATCTGACTGCCTTCCTTTCTGATTTTTGTCTAGAACATGAAGACAAATCCCACAGGCACTCAAAATTCCTTCATGTTAATACTGACCCATATCTCTAAGCACAGTCTTACCATGTGCTCCACAACAGTGCCATTCCATCCTCATGGAGCTGTATTTGTTTTATCTAAGACATCATTACTTGTAAGACATTCCACGATGGTATATGCCAATAAGATGAGTAAATGTTGCCAATTAAGCCATTACCATCGACTCTAAAATATACCCAAATATTACAGATTTTAAAATGAAAGATAAGTGTCTTTGAACTGATGAACTGCCTGCAAGCATGACCCTTCCTATTTCTATGCCATTTCACATGCTGCATCCTGTCAACTCATCCTACACACTCCCCCTTTGCAGGCCTCTCTGTCCTGTAGGATTCAGCTCAGCACCGCTTCCTGAAAACCTCCCTGACACAGTGCTCCCTGGGCCAGGCTAAGCTGCTGCTGCCACGTGTCCTACAAGTAAGGGTGCACTTCTTGGTCATTACTGCGCTTTACTGTAATGGCTAATTTATTCCCTGATGAAAACTGAGTAAAGACTCTATTTCACCAACACAGGCTGGCACCAAACCCTTGTCATTCAACCATTTAATAGATGGTATTTTAACCAGGTGAGGAGAGTGGGCGATATGGAGGAGGCAAGCACTAGAGAAGAAACATGGGGGACATGAAAAACTTGCTGAAAATTCAGAACCATTGTTTTTAGCTTTCTGCAGTGTGTCTCTGAATCTAGAAACTTCCCATATAAGAGGAGACAGATCCAGATCCAGGAAAAACAGAGAAACTGAGCTTTTCCCAGATTTAAGGGTTGCAGAGTGAATGAACTGATTCTCCCTGTCCAGGGTCTGGTCTCTTCTGGGCCAAAGAAGAAATGGCTCAGGGGTAGGCCAGGCAGGCAGGGGCGCCTGTGTACAGCAGGACCCCGCCCAGACCTCTGCTCCAGGGCTCCCAGAAGGCCTGCGGCTCATTGCGCCAGGGAGGACACCCACTGCACTGAAGAATGAAACGGTTTAGGGGAAAGTGATTCCTCCCTCCTTTCCCCTTTACTCTTAACTTCAAAGTAATCAAATGGTGTTTATGCACAAAACTTTAATCCTTTCACAAATTTGTAGTTTGATTTAATTTGCATATCCCATTTACTGCAAGTCAACATGAAGAGAGACTCAACTAATTTAAACCATTTTTCTCTGGGTCTGAAATCCTTTCAGAAATATTTTCCATTAGGCAACTCAATTATGTCTAATGTAGCTAATGTCAGTGGATTAGAATTTTGCTTAAAGAAACACATATTTAGAACAGTGAGAATGGGAAGAGAGGGTGGGAGGATGGGGGAGGAGACAATAATTACCTGTCTTTGATGCTACACAGATCAATGTGTAAATCACTAAAATTCCCCAGGGAACCTTGCTGAACTGAAATGAGGTCCTTGGGCTGGTTATCAATAAAGATGAGCCTCATGCAGCCTTGGAAAGCCTTAATAGGATTTAAGCGCCGGGGAGCGGTGAGATGGTCAGGGCACCCTGTGGGACAGAAAGAAATGCAGAAGAGTGCTGAAATGATCAGTCATTGCTTAGGCGACCTATTGACACAAGACCTTGAGGTCTAATTATTGTGATGCTTTCTCATTCACAGCAGTGCACACAGTTTAGTTGTAAATCCTGGCATTTTCAGAGAGGGGACAGAATTGGTTCAAAAGAGAGCACCCACAGTCAGTGGACAGAACAAAACCAACTGTGTTGAAGGGAACACTGGTGCCACAGTGTGTGCTGTGTTCCTCACGCTTTCTCCTGGTGAGCTGCTTGGCATTCCTCTGCCTGGTACACATCACGCATCCCAACAACACAACACATCGTCACTACTTGGGGATGTCCATTCTGTTCTGAAACACACTTCTAAATGCACAATTCAGTCCTGAATTAGCTTTCAAAGGAAATTATGTGTTGGGTAAGGATGGTGGCAGAGTAATTATCTGGCTAATTGTCAGCATCAACAGGCTTAGTTCCTGAGAAAGGTACATGTAGAAAAGTAACTGGAGTTTTGAAGTGCTGTGCAAACCAAATCCAGACACTGCAGATGCTAAGGGTTTAAACACCCAGTTGTCAGGCTGTAATAGCAGGTGCGAAAGGTTAACACCATACCTCTTTAAAAGGGTGTCCTTTCAAAAACAATGCATCATCCAGCTTTAGCACAGCTGCAACATGGGCATATGTACTCCTCAGTAAGACAGGTAGAAAGCAAATAGGTATTTCAGTGCTTGAGCTCTTTATAAACTCCATCCTAATTGTTTTAATAGGTTCCTACCATATGGAAATGCAAGCTTGAAAACAGGGCAATAACCCATAAATAACGGGGAATTATTTCAGCCATCTCTAATAGACAGTCACTGCTGGGCTGCAGCTGGCAGCTGGCTAACAGCTCACAAGCACACACACCATAAAATGAAGAGAAATGTTACGACTTCTAATTGAAGCTGTAGAGAGAATTTATGTAAGTTGACTATTATTACTCAAACTCATTTTTCACCTTCCTTAAGCTTACAGTCTACGTGTGGGGCATTTCTTTAAGTGCTGCTCAAATCACAGATACATCTTCTCCAGAATTCTGAGCCCAGTGCCCTTAAGAACCACCTCAAAGGGCTTGTCTTCAATGGGGGAGGGGCCTTTTTACTTTGAGGCATTCAGGTGCTCACATAGCATAATCATTGCTCATTACTTTCCATAGAAATAAATACAAGGTTGCTTTGCACTTCTTTTAGAAGCAAGCATGTGATGCAAAATTACTAGTCTCTGGGATATATGTTTGGGGCCCCAAGACCCTGCTTCCATAGCTTTGGTGCTACATGGGTTGGCATCCCTTTGCTGTCACTGGTGGGCTGTGGAGAACACAGGCCTGGGGGTGAATCCTGGTTCTACTGCTCACACAAATTATTTCATTTAAGCAAACACCACTCTTACCTTCTGTGAAATGGGGCAAAGTTCTTGCATGAATTAAATGAACTAAGGCATCTGCAGAGAACGTAAGTGTTCTCTTAAGGGATGTGCTGCATGCACACGTGGAGGAGAGGTAGAGTGTAGGACAGAGCACTTCCTGAGGCCCTCAGCTCAAACCACTGATGGCCGATGCCTGCACGCTGCTTCCCTCCCACCCCAATGCGCCTACTGTCTCTGTGCAACGTTCCTCTTGTATGTCAAAGCTAACCCACATGCCACTGGTCTGAAAGAAATGATTTGTAAATGCTATTAGAGACTGCACTTTATGGTTTTACACACAATTTCTCTTCAGTTTCCCAATGGAGAAAGGATTGGAGGCTACAGGTCAGCCTCAGTCAATGCCTGTATTTACCAGGGTTGAAGCCAGTCTGTCTTTTCCTTGCCAGTCAGGGAGCCCTGTGCTATGCATATAAACCTAGACACGGGGAATTGTCCCACAATTCTGCTTTATCTCCCCATGGCCCAGATACTGGAGTTCAGGGGCCATAAGTGTCTTGCTCGTGGTCAGACACATATTAATTACTCTTTAGAGACTGTTTCTAAAATATAAACACATGACCAGGAAATTAAGTATTATTTTTCTTAATGAAGAAAATTCTTTGAAAAAAACTAAAGAAAAAAAATATATATATGCATCTATGAAAATGCAGTAGGTGCCTAATTATATGTTTTCTGTCTCTACCAGTTTGCCCTGTGTTTTCGTCATAGGAAACGCTCCCAGGATTCAGCAGCATTGGAGAGGGTGGGTTTCAGGCTGCTCCATGGGGAACTGCACATTCATGGGCCTTTAGGTCTTCCCCGTTTTTAGTTGCCCCACCCGTGGGCATGGCCACCAGGGATGTGGGGACTGACATAGCCAAGTGCGGGAGGAGTGGCCTAGGTGGGTGAACATGCAGCTACTCCTTCCCACCTGAATATTTCCTCTTTCAGGCACTGCTGAGCCTTGGTACTTTCTCCAAGCTTTCAGCTGAGTTTCCCCTTTTGAAAGTGATCACAGAGCTTGCACGGCTATAAAAATCTCCTTTGGATGTGTTATGTAACAGCAGCTCTTATAGCTAGAGTTCTTTCTTCCTCAGCATTGACCTAGATAAATTATATCTGCACAGCTGTGAGAGAGTTTGCTTCCCATCATTTTGGGTTTGGGGGTGGGTGCTGGTGCCACTGTGTGTGTTTGGGGAGGAGGTGGCTGTGTGTATGTGTTGGAATAATGTTCTAATTGACAAAGAAAGAATTATCATAGTAAAATAATTGCTCACTGCATTCTCCCTCCCTCCTTTATGTTCAACCTCAAGGCTGAGTAATTTACCTCCAAAGTAGTAGCTTTTTCCAGAATAAATCTGTATCCAGGTGTCGTCCTGAGCGGGGGAGGCTGCATCGTTATCCAGGGTGAGACTGATGCGGCTGCGTCTGGCATTGATGCTGACTGAGTGCCACAGGCCATCATTCAGGCCGCGGCCTGCAAGAGAAGCAGGAAGAGTGGCGCTGATGAAGGACCAGGAGCTGGAAGGCGGGGCTCCCGCTCCTCCCGCTGTGCTACCGGTGCCTCCCCGGAGGGGTCCCCACTCAGCATTTGGCTCACGCCAAACCCTCAGCTGCTTCACGAGTGATTTTTCTTTCTCCTTTTACCACTTAATTCTATTATTTTAGGTGGCTGAACTTCAGCTGCTTGCTTTACCAACAAAAGGGGAAACACAGATTTGTATGTAGACAACAACCAAAGGCACTAGCACATTAATTGATCCCTTGAGATATAAACACAGAGCAAAATGCTGAAAAGAAAAGACTCTCAGAATGTTCCTGGTGGTTTTATCTTTGGGTGGTCAGATTATAGACAATTTTTGTTTTCTTATGTTTTTCTACTAGTAGCTTATATCTATTTTAGTAAAAATAAAGTATTTTTCTAGGCAGAAGTAGAAGAGGAAAGCTAGAGTTCGATGGTGTGCCAGGCAGAGGCCATGACCTGTTGGAGAGAGGGGCACACAAGCGATTTCCCATCTCCCCTGACTTCTGATGTGACACTGGCTAAGTCACCTGCCTTCCCTGAGCTTTGGTTTTATCACTTGCAAAGTCATACTCTGCTCTGTGTCAATGCTAAGGGGACCAGATGTGATCGGCCAGCCAGTGCCTCAGGCAGTTGGTGGCATAGGTGTGTTTATTAAAAGTTCATTTGTTCCGTGATCTCTCAGCCCAGATATATTTGGTGCCCACTGCATGGCTGGCCAACCTGACTGAGGAGACTGTGTTGGAAACTGGTCATGAGGGTGTCAATTATTTCCTCTGAAAGTTTGTCCTCTGTGAAGGCTCTGAGGTGCAAAGGGCTTGCTCAAGAAAACAGTCCCATAAGCAGGCCAGTAGCAAAGGTCTGTCTATGACAAGAGCAGAGAATCACATATTTCTACACTCAGACATATTCTGCCCTGCTATGTGCTAAGTTGCCTTCCTTCACTCTGTCTCAGTTTCCTCTCCTACACAATGAGGACAATGGTTACACTTACAGGCTGTTGTGAGAATTATACCAGTTCACAGAGCAGCATGCAGGACAGTGTTTATAATATCCTAAGAATACAGTGTTTGTTAAGCCAAATGGACAAAACAGCAACTACAGGACGGTCCCTGTACTGGCGAGTGTGGACATTGACATCACATGGTCTCCATCCTGCGGTAGGCCACAGTTAAGTGAGGAGACACATGCAAGGTGGATAACAGCCCTCTCCTTTGAGTCTGTCAGGCAAGGAGCATAGACAGGGAAGCTGACAAACAGCAACACTTGCAATTCTGGGGGCACAGTTAATGTGAGGCAGAGAAGAGAGAAGGGAGACCTAACCAACCCCATGTGAGGATCCTCGGAGGCATCGTGAAAGAGGGGGTAAGAGTTTAGGAAAGCTTTGAAAAATAAGCTAGAGTTCCAGGGGAGAGAGCCTGTACGAAGACTTGGAGGCTTGGAGTGAGGAGCAGGGCAGAACAGTCAGAAGGCAGGTGGGAGGATCCACTCACCCAGGGCCTCGCACGTCGGGCTAAGGACCCGGTCTCAACAAAGTCCTTTGACGCGTGATTCTGGAAGGTGCTTTACCCAGGACAATTCTATCAGAATCTCTGAGGATGGAGCCTAGGTATTTGCATTTTCAAAAAGCTCCCCCTACCCGCCAGGTGATTCTAATGGGCAGCCAGGAATGACAATCACTGCTTTAGGTAGTGGGAGTCCATGAGGGGTCTTTAACATGGGAGTGACGTGGCTGGAGGTGCACATTCAAAAACTCTGGCTGCAGACGATAAGAGCTGAGAGGAGGTAAGGCTGGGGGCAGGACTGGCGGGACCTGTTGCTTACAGAGCCACAGGGGCAGAATGATGAGGTCTCAGCCAGAGCAGCAACAGTGCACATGGACAGGAAGGGGTGGATTAGGAGCAATTCCTGGAGGTAGAAGAGATGAGACTTGGTAGAGCCTCCTGGAGCATCCCTGAGAAACCAGCTGGGGATGATGCATTCAAAATGAGAGCAGAGGTCTGCAGGGCTCCTCAGAGCACCTACCAACTCACTTGTGCCCGAGCCCTCCGATCTCTGCGGAAGTAGCCCAGGGAGAGCACAGCACAAGGCTGCAGGCCCGGCTCCATGGCAATGGGCAGTGCACCCCATCTGCTCAGAACAGCCCAGATGGAGGGCCCCTCCTGAGTTTGCAGCCAGCTCCCTGGCAGTCTTTCCTGAAGCCCTGAACACCTGTGGGGTAAAGGGGAGAACCCAGAGGCTACTCATCCTGGCCACTCTACCGTCTCCCAAGGCCAGGGTTTGGACACTAACCACAGGGATTCCACTAATGAGGTAGAGGCTCTGTCAGGTGTTTCCTGGGGTTGAACATTTGAATTCCGTCAGGGGTATGGCGGACATAGCCAGCTGCAGGTCTTCACTTTTTAACTTCATTTGCATAGTACTTTAAATACATCTGCATAACACATGAGGCTGCATTTTCAGACAGTCTATAGACTGTTTGGGCTGGAGGTCAGGAAGGAGTTCAACAAATAGGGTGTAAATAGGCCCCAAGGGCCCAGCACCCTGCTGGCATCAGGTTCAGCAGGGAAGAAAGTACACACAGAGGCCACAGGAAGTGTCCGTCTAATTACAGATGCGTTCTCTAATTACCTTACAGATGGACCAGGCCGAAGGGCAGAGTCTGCTCAGTGAGAGGGCAGGGCCAGAGCAATACCTTGCCTTCCGATTCTGGCTCTTTCCCTTCCCACATTACTATCCAGTTCTGTTTTTTTTCTTATTTGTTTACTTTAAATATATTTTTTTTAATTTTTCAGTTACAGATGACATACAATATTATATTAGTTTTGGGTATACAACCCAGTGATTAGACAGTTATATAACTTACCAAGTGATCATCTCTATAAAACTAATATCTATCTGACACCATACATTGTTATTACAACATTTTTGATTATAGTCCCTATGCTGCCCTTTACATCCCTGAGACTATTCTAAAACTAGCAATTTGTACTTCTTAATCCTGTCACTTTCTCACAGGTCCCCCCAGCCCCCCTCTTATCTGACAACTATCAAAGCGTTCTCTGTATCTATGAGTCTGTGTCTGCTCAGCTTGTTCATTTATTTCATTTGTATAGATTAAATTGTTGATAGATGTGTATTTATCATTTTATTATCCTTGTTTTCATTTTATCTTCCTCTTCTTAAAGAAGATCCTTGAACATTTCATGTAATACTGGTTTGGTGGTGATGAACTCCTTTAGCCTGTTCTTGCCTGGAAAGTTCTTTATATGTCTTTCAATTCTAAATGACAGCTTTGCTGGTTCTAGGTCCCTGTTTTTCATCACTCTGAATATTTCTTGTCAGTGCCTTCTGGCCCAAAATGTTTCTGTTGGAAAATTCAGCTACAGTCTTATGGGAGCTCCCTTGTAGGTAACTAATTGCTTTTCTCTTGCTGCTTTTAAAATCCTCTCTTTATCTGTAATCTCTGGCATGTGTCTTGGTGTGGGCCTATTTGGGTTCACCTTTTTTGGGACTCTCTGTGCTTCCTGGGCTTGCATGTCCAGTTCCTTCACCAGGTTAGGGAAGTTTTTGTCATTATTGTTCAAATAGGTTTTCAATTCTATGCTCCCTCTCTTTTTCTGGCACCCTCTTGATATGAATGTTGGCACACTTGAAGGTTCCAGAAGCTCCTTAATGATCTTCATTTTTCTGGATTCTTTTCTTTGTTGCTGTTCTAACTGGGAGTTTTCTGCTTCCTTATCTTCTAAATATCTGGTTTGATCCTGTGCTTCACCTACTCCACTGTTGATACCTGTAATGTATTTTTCATTTCAGTTAATGTATTATTCATTTTTGACTGGTTCTTTTTTATGTGTTCTAGTTCCTTTTCTCATTACCTATGTCTTTGTTAATGTTCTCACTAAATCCGTCCCTCTGTCCCCTAAGCTCACTGAGCATCCTTAATGCTAGTGTTTTGAACTCTGCATCCAGTAGATCGCTTGTCTCCATTCCGTTTAGTTCTCTTTGTAGAATTTTGTTCTGTTTTTTTTTTTTTTATTTGGGACATTTTTCTTTGTCTCCTCATTTTGGAAGCCACACTGTGTTTGTTTCTATGTATTAAGTAGAGCTGCTACGTCTCCTGCAGTGGCCTTATGTAGTAGATGTTCTGCAGGGCCTGGCACCACAGCCTCCCTGATCACCCCAGCTGAGTGCTCCAGGTGCCCCCCCACACAGTGGGTTGTGTATACTGTCCTGTTGTAGTTGAGCCTTGACTGATGTTGGCACATCAGTGAGAGGGATTTACCCCCAGGCTGAATGGCTGCAAGGACTGGCATTGAGCATTGTGGAATATCACCCCACTGAGCAGGACTTACTTCAGTGGAGCTACAGTGCCCATTGAGTGTGTCACTGTTGAGGTTGTTGGGTGGTGTTTCCATGTGGTCTGAAGCTATCCACCATGTACACTGGCTCTGGGGCCTCCAGGGAGGTACAGTCCAAGGTCAGCCACTGTCTGTGTTCTGCCTGAGGCCACCCAGAATGAGCTAAAGAGCCATTTGCAGATGGCTACTATTTGTGCTGGGTTTGGAGGTTCCCAGGAGAATCCAAGTTGCAAACCAGGACCAGCTACCACTACTGCCAGCCCTGGGGCCACTTAGCAAGAGGCAAGATACACACCGAGGCTAGATGCTGCTTGTTTGAAAGATTTTTGGAAAATTCTCAAGCCTATTCATATGGTAAAGCCACTGGAAATAGCTTGGGTGAGCCCTTATGTCGGGTGGGTTGAGGCCTAGGGAGTCACCAGGGTAGGTGGCACAATGCTAGCCAGGTTTATGGAGACTCAGATACGGTGCCTGCAGGCTCTGTCAGGGGAAGGCTCAGAAAAAATTGGCCAGCACTCTGTCTAGGAGAAAGCTGTCCTGCCAGCTCTCAACCTGATGCAGTAAATTCAGTTCTTCCTTGTATGTCTCTGGTGC